GGGCAATGTAAAGGCTTCCCCCACCAAACCCACCTGCTCCCGGGTTTCCTGTCTAGGCCTCAGAGCTAAATTCAGCTCCCCAGTGGCTGTATCAGCCAGGGCCAGGCTCCATCCTTGTCATGCTCTTCCTGGACACCCCAAAGCTCCCTCCGGCGCATCCACGGCCTCGCTGTGCTCCTGCACTGGTGGCTCTGTGGGCAGCCTTTGGCACAGCCCATCCTCATCCTCAGCACAGTGTCTGCAGTGCCTCCTGGGGCAACACCAGGGCTTCACCTGCACACAGCGTCAGGTGCAGGATGTTCTGGTGTGCACAGGGCTGCACCTACAGGGTTTGACACGGTGCGGTGATACGTTAGCACCCAAAAAGTCCCTGTTTTCTTCTAAAAAATAAAAGCACCATGGGAGGTGCTAAAATTTTGCATCCCCTACCCGTGTCCTTGCTCGGCATTGGCTTTGCTGGATCCTCAGCACCACCCTGAGAGGAGTTTTCCCCGGGGCAGGCCCTGCTCCCTGCCGGCAGGTTGAGCCCCACGGGCAGTGCCGCGCTCGGGGCCAGCAGCTTTTCCCACGTCTCCATCTCTCTCTATCCCAGGTTTTGCAAAAATTGGGCAAAACAGTGGAAACCAAGGACGAGCAGTTTGAGCAGAGCGCGTACAACTTCCAGCTGCAGCAGGTTGCACCAGGGAGCAGGGGTGGGGGTGGACGGGGTCACCCCAACACCATCACTTGGCCCCCTGTCTCCTGGGGTCCCACCATCTTGTGGAAATCCCTGTGATCCCAGGCACGTCCCTGAGCTGTCCTCTCACCATGTTGCTTTGCAGAACGAAGGCAATAAACTCTACAAAGATCTCAAGGGTTTCCTGGGGGCAGTGAAAGGTACATCCCCTGTCCCTGTAAATGTGCAGAGAAAACCCCCTGGGCACCACGGAGGAGCTGGGAGGGGGCTGAGCATCACTGTGCTGTCTCACCCAGAACGATACATTGTTCCTTTTTAAAAATAATAATAATACTAAATAATTAATAATTTAAAATATAAGACATGCTAAGAGATAATAATGTATGCTAATGTGTAACATTCCTGCACCTCCCTGGCAGTGATGCACGAGAGCTCCCGGAAAGTGGCTGAGACGCTGCAGGAGATTTACAGCCCCGACTGGGATGGTCACGAGGAGCTAAAAGCCATCGCAGCTGTGAGCCCCTTGACGTGCCCCTGCTGTCCCCAGGGGTCCCCTTCGAGCATCAGCAGGGCTGACGAGCTGAGCCAGGGGTGTCCCTGTGGATGCAGCCCAGCACGTATGACCGGAGGGGAGGGGAGAGGGTGGGAATCTGGGCGTTACACCCGGATTTTTCCTCCCCACAGAGCAATGACCTCCTATGGGACGACTACGAGGCAAAGCTGGCCGACCAAGCCCTGCGGCTGATGGAGAACTACCTGGCCCAGTTTGGGGACTTTAAGGTACACCCCGTGCACGGTGTTGGGGGGGAGGGCATGGTGCTGGACCCTGGCTCACTTTGCCCCCCACCCCGTGCAGGAGCGCATCGCCAAGAGGGGCCGCAAGCTGGTCGACTACGACAGCACCCGGCATCACCTGGAAGCTCTGCAAAGTGCCAAGAAAAAGGACGAGGCAAAAATTGCCAGGGTCGAGCCTCCCGTGGGACTCCCCCTGGGCAGCCCACATGCCCCAGCCAATGCCAGCAAAGCCACGGGCCCCCCCTTCCCTCCCTACAGGCTGAGGAAGAGTTTAATAAAGCCCAAGCGGTGTTTGAAGACCTGAACAGGGACCTCCGGGAGGAGCTGCCGGTTCTGTATGGGAGGTACTAGGGGTGTCGTAAGGGCTGGGGGACATCACGGGCTGGGGAGGACAGGTGGCCCTGAGGGATGATCCTGCCCAGAAACTGGTGGTATCCACAGTCCCCCCAGTTTGCAAAGGGTGGAGGAGAAGGCAGCCCCTTCCCATCCCCTTCAGGGTCCCCTAGAGAAAGCATCCTCTGAGCAAAAGGTCCCAAAAAACGGGTCTGGGTGCAGATGCTGGTGGGTGGGAGCTCTTTTCCCTTCTGTGGCAGGGACAAAGTGGGGTTTTCTCCATGGGAAAGACACAGTGGTGGCCCCAGGAGACCTTGGCCACAGATGGCTGTGACCGCCAGGAGGCTGCAGCACCGCTGGAGCGACGCAGCCCCAGGGACAGATGTCCAGGGCCGCTTTCTCCCCACCCTCAGGGTTTATTCACCATTTCCCACTGTGACCCCAGGGGCTGGGAGCTCCCCGGCTGGGTGCTCAGCACCCAGAGCCCCATGGGAACCCCCAGGTCAGCACCCCTGAGTCACTCTAGGTACCTCCCACCCTGATTTCCCTCCTGCAGCCGCATCGCCTGCTACGTGACCATCTTCCAGAACATCTCCAACCTCCGTGATGTCTTCTACAAGGAGATGAGCAAGGTGAGGGCAAAGCCAGCACCCCACAACACCTCTCCCCTCGCCCCCCAGCAGTCTTGCAGCCATCCCCAGGTGCTCTGGCTGTGCCAGTGCCACCCACCCACCTCGAACCCTCACTGCTCTTAGTTTAATAATTTGCAGCAGCTCAAGGATTGCCCTCAAGGAGGGCAACGAAGCTAGTGAAGGGCCTAGAGAATAAATTGGATGAAGAAGGCTTGAAGGAGCTGGGAATGTTTAGTCTGAGGAACAGGAGGCTGAGGGGAAACCTCATCAGTCTCTGCAACCACCTGAAAGGTCATTGCAGAGAGGTTGGTGCTGGTCTCTTCTCACAGGTCATTAGTGACAGAGCAAGAGGCTTCAAGCTGCACCAGGGCAGGTTCAGACTGGACATTATGGGAAAGTTGTCACAGCAAGAGTGGTCAGACACTGGAACAGGCTGCCCAGGCAGGTGGTGGAGTCACCATCCCTGGATGTGTTGAAGGGTCCTTTGGATGTGGTGTTGGTGGAGATGGGTTAGGGGAGACCTCTGTAGAGCAGGGATGATGGTTGGACTCAGAGATCCCAAGGGGCTTTTCCAACCTGAATGATTCTATGATTCTATGATGTTTATGGTGCTGCTGGGTGATGGGTGGCACCAGGGTGGTCATCTTGGATGTGTTTCTCTCCCCAACTTGCAGCTCAACCGTGACCTCTACGAGGTGATGAGCAAACTGGACAAGCAGCACTCCAGCAAAGTCTTCATTGTTAAAGGCATCCCCAGGTAAAGAAGTGGGTAAGGTCCAGCAAGGTGGGGGGTCCAAGTGGCCAAATTGCTCCCCCACCCCAGTGGGTGGGTGTCACAGCCCCTGTGCTGGTGATGGGCGAGCAGCTCCCAGTGCAGGGTTCAGGGTGCTGGGTTAAGAATTTGGGGTCATTTACCAATCACACTGGCTGAGGAATCATCACCTGCAAGCTGAGGTGGTGAAACCGTGGTGCCGTGTGTCCCCAAGAATAACACTTGTGGGACATCCTGGAGTTGGGATTAACTCCCTCCATCCTCCCCACAGCAACCGGCGCTCTCTGGTCATCTCCTCACCCGTCAGCCCCCCAGCCATGTTCCCCTGCCCGGGGAAGGCGCCAGACTGGCCGTCCACGGTGGAGGCAGAGGTGACAGCAGGGTCCCCCAGGGAGGGCAGCAGTGCCACCGACACCATTGCCAACAGGGAGCTGGATGGCACCATCCCCAGCCCGCCACCCGCTTCACCCGCCA